GGCAGCTCTAGGACAAAGTATGCAGGAGGAGAAGCATGGCAAAGTTGAGATGACTTGGATGGGAAACGAATCACAATAGTGAGCATTGCATTGACAATGCACACTGATGAAAGGTAGCCGAAGAAGAAAAAAATCTTTGCCTCTATTTGTAAAAAATATTATTTTCAGAAAAATAATAAAACTAAACAAATAATTCAACTCCTCAAATAGTAACTCTTACAAATACAAACTATACAATTTCATATTTCTTTAACAATTTAACTTTTATCATTCTTTTAAACAAAGTAATTGAGCCAGCATTTTTACAATCATTATCCAGATTATTCCATACTGAAGTACATCTGACCTTCAAATCTGTTTGAGTTTTAGGTTTTATAAACATCTCTAGTATAATCAACCAACTCATAAAACGTTAATAATTTCAGTTGATGAAAATATATATATTTGATGGGTGACAGTAATGTTTTCTGCTGTTTTCTTTATTGAACATTTTCAGAGTTAAACCAGATCAAACACATTTTCACATTCTTGCTTTTTAAGCTACATTTTCATACCTGGATCATCCTGATATGAGCAGTTCGAGAGATGTGGCCTGATTGTCTTGCTAATTGGGAAGACCTCTGGGGAAAAAAAAACAACTAACAATAAATCCAATAATAAATAAAAATGATAAAACAACAATAACGATATCTAACAGTATAATGATAATAATTTGGTTATATAAACTATTTCTAATCAAGAATTTGCTCTGAACCTGCCAGCTCATCATGTATTTTTTATTTGCTGAATAACTGAGCATAAATCTCTCTCAGGAACGTGAACATGTTTACTCGCCCACCTGCTGCTCAGGTTGCGAGGATTTACGGCTCCATGTCGGTCTTCAGGAAGTCACTGCTGCTTTTATAATGACGGCCCGACCCGCTCCGTTACTCATTGTTACACAAATCCTTCCTCCCCGACCTCTCACAGAGCGAGTACCGAAGGCGAGGCTTCACCGAGGTCGTGACCCCGACTCTGTACAGCACTGCATTGTGGGAGCGCTCGGGCCACTGGGAGCACTACGGCAAGAACATGTTCACCGTGACGTCGGAGGGCTCTCAGACCTTCGCTCTGAAGCCCATGAACTGTCCTGCTCACTGGTACACACACACACACACACACACACACACACACACACACTGCTGCAGCTGGATGCTTTTACACAGTGGTGGGAACAGCTCCCCTAAATATGGGATAAATCTTGTGCCAACAGGAATTGAATTTAAATTGCTCAGATTGAATCTGAATGTTCATAATTTGAAATTGAATGCATTGGTTTAACTAAATTGAAACTGAATTTAAAGTTTTGAATTTGAATTAATTTGCTTTGAAACTGTATTTTGGTTTATTAAAAATTCAGTTTGACTACTTTCACTTTCAGTTCCATAGTTCAGATTTTTGTGTCACATCCTGGTCCTTGAGAAAGCCAGGCAGAGTAATCAAACAC